CTGCATTCCTCCCACCGACACAGGCCACTGGGGAAGCAAAGGCAGCACAGGCACTCGAACACGCCAGTTGTACACACTAGAGCACTGCAGCAGCAGCTGATCCCCGTGCTTTCAAGCCCGGTGGCGTAGCCCATGTGATGCTGAACAACCACTGCCACCACACCTCGTTTACCTCCCCTAACGTCGCTGCCATGGGACGCACGCTACACACCTCAGTTACTATACGCACGCGGAAACTGTTGCCAGGCTATGGATAGCGTCTCTCCTCCACCCCTGGAAGCTGCAGGACAAAAACAGCAGAAAAGAAGCAAGCAGATTTCGGGCTGTGGGCAAGGCAACGGCCCCTCCAGACAAACGAGCAGCGCTGGCATTAAGCAATTACTCCACACAGCTATTCCTAGACAGAGGAGTCTCTAAACAGCACCAACACTACGAGAAACAGTACAAATTGCTTGCCCTTAAATGTCACCTCATGTTTTCTTCAGATACACACCCTTTCAAATACCTCTGCAGCAACTGAAATCCTCCCCTAGTAAGCAAAGATTTCACACTGCCAAAGGCCCTGCTACAGAAGTGAAAGAAACACCAAGCTTACATTTTTGGTCTTCTTGCTTTACAACCAGTCTCAGCCATGTAATGTCTGATGTCACTGGAGTACCAGTATGTGGAAGTACTATGGGAATTGTAGTCTTTCCTCTGTTGTGCAATACCAACAACGTACGGGATAGGGCCGCAACCCTGAGCCTTAGGAACTGTCTCCCTCACGCAGAGGCCTCCGGGGACTGCCTGAGAAATACAGCCAAACTGCTTTATTTAGCTGTGAAATGCTTCTCGGATGGGAAAGAAGAAAAGTGCATGGAAGGTTTTGAAATGCATCTTCTCCTCCTTCTCACGCAAGAAGTAACTTCCAAGCAATTATTCTCAAGTGATCACATACTGCCAAAACCATTTAAGTTGTAATCAGGAAGCACGACCCAGTGAGTAAATTTTAATCACTATAATATACATATAATATACAACACACGCGTAACAACATTGTACTTAACCGTACAAGAGTTTTTATAACCAGTCCATCATCTCTTGTACCTCTGAGGTCTTGGTATCTCCACAAGAAAAAATAATTCATTGGAATGAATGTTTTTTTGTCAGTGGGGATGACACATCTGCTGCTTTTGTTCCTGTCTCCCCACTGAATGCTATCATTTGGCTCATCCCAGTTAAGGAACTATGAAACACTTGCACAGAGTGAGCAAATCAAGCCCTATGTTCTCCGTAACAAAAATTAAAGGTTATTTAAAGGCTTTATTTCACACTAAATTGTTGTACCTGACTTACCTTCTCCCCACTTTCAGTCAAATGTCTCATAGACAGTTACATTTTATCACCTTTTACACATTTTTCCTTAATCAAGTCATTATTTTCCCACAGCTCTTTGCCTTAACTCAGAGAGATGAACTCTGATCTTTCCCTCACATCATCATATTTTAATGCTACAAAAAGAATAAAGAAATATAATTTAAGAAAATTAAGAAATCCAGAGACAACAGAACAGAGCCATTTTCATCTTTTTGAAGAAAACAAGAAAAAAAACCAGGCATAATATAATACAGTTAGTTGCTGGGAAGTGTAGCCCATCATCAGCCAACTATTATTACAATGTCTCAAGACTAGAAAAAAAGAGAAAGCATAGTACTAACAGGTTCCGACTAAATTCTTTAAAAAAACCTCAAGCTGCCCTTCAACATACACTTAAGTTATCCGAGTTAAACCTAAAAATATGTTGTTCAACCTGAACAATAAAACTGCCCCAAAATCCATCTTACAGAGTATAAGAAAACTTTTGTGACAGCTAGAAGTGTTATAGTGGAAATCAGAAAACCACTCGCTCTTAAGCTCTTCAACAACTTAATGCAGGCAGAGTACAAACAAAAGATCTTAAAAGGGAGGGGGAAAAAAACCCAACAACTTTCTCCAAAGTTTCCTTCTGTTCCCAAGGCATTTTCACTAAGTTACAGTAACATCACCTTGTTCTGCAAAGTTCTTCCTTCACAGCTACCACTGTAGCACTTAGCGCTGAAAGCACTACTAAAATACACTGTAGAGTGCCACACAGCACGTAACCTTCGCCAAATATTATTTAAGTGTATTCCACATAGCTTTTCTGACACAGCAGTAAATAGGAAATGAGGTCACCTCTCCCTAAAAACCTCAGCCCATGTTTACATTATTTCTAGTCTCCCTCGGTTTCTCTCCACAAAGCTGTAATGGCATTCAGAGATGGCGACTGTCCTCCTCCAGCTCCTCCAACTGTCTGATGTAAGCACAATTTGAGAATGACAACATAGAACAAACATGACACAGGAAGCTTTTACACCCCTTTTCACATTTAGGTTTTTGGAACAGCGTATTTGCACCACTGCTGCTGATAGTACACACTGAATTCGAGTGTTTCCAGAAAAAAAAAATAAATCAAAAATCTGAAGCCACGCACTGACCAGGGATTAAAGAAAATAGAGGAAGCCCAAACGTTTCCAGTGTTATGGCAGCACAGTCCGAAAGTACATGCACTAATTTTAGTGATATGAATAGACCCCAATAGCTTCGAATGAAGTCCAACAGCAGAATTTCACACTTGTTTGCCTGGGCAAGACAGTGGGAAAGAGAGAAAATTCAGACACAAATCCACAAAAACAGTTTAGGCATAAATTATTTCTGCTAGCTTGAGAACAGTGTGTTACAGAAAAAACAAGACAGACTTTTCTGAAGGGCTCACAGTCTACTTAAAAGCAAAATACCGCACAGGCAAACAGTTAAGAGAATAGTTTGAAGTCAAAATGTAGCATACCTTTTTGCTACATTCAGCAGAAACTGTACTCCCAACAATATTCTTTTAAAGTAGCTAGAAGCAGTAGTAGCTACACCCTCATCTCACAGTAACATGCAAAATGCCCCCAGTGCCTGTGCGGAAGTGTATAAACAGAGCTGGGCTTCAGCTGCAGTGGCTGTGAACATGGGGAAAAAAGCTGCCAAATTCCCCTGCCCTGAAAACACTGGTGAAAACGCGCCTGCTGGAAAAGCAGGACCACCGCATGCTGTGAAGAATACACTGTGACTCTCACCTATGCAGCATTCAGATACCCCCAAAAGATTTCAAAGGTTTCAGCAACACATTAAAAGTGGGCAAACGTACCCAAAATATTAAGCTACAAATACCTGTAGGGACTTTTTAAACTTGCAGATTTCAAGTAACTCAGTGTGAAGATGCTTGCACACAACGTCCTAGCAGCAACCTGGCCACAGCATTGTAAATTCATTCAAGTAATGAAAGATATAAGACAATAGATTGCAGTGATTTTAATAACTCAGTACATCATCTGCTTATACAGTAGACTTAAGTATTAGCAGTCATTCTTCCAGACCCCTCACCAGACCAAGACAACCTTTGTGGATTTTTACTATGACAGGAAATGTAAACACTGTAACAATGAAAACAAACACTGCTTCCAGGAGAAAAAAAAAGGGGGGGGGGGGAAGGAAGGCAAAAAAGAAGAAACCTCCTTTTTCCTGAAACGAAACATTTCAGTGTATTCCCCTCCGCAGCCTTAGAAAGTGACTCCTGCGTTACCCTATTGGGATTTCAGGCTATAACACTCGTTTACTTCACCGCTCCCTTCTGCTCTATCTTCGTGCAGAAGCATCACTCATTTTTGGCGTGTCAACACCACTCACGGCTCTTTAA